CAAGGTCACGCTGAAGGTCAGGACAAATATTTAGAGGACAGGGAACAAAGGGAAAAAAAATTTTTTTTAAAATATATATATATATATTTATATAAAATTTGATTACAGGCAAATAGGACGCGAGACTCGATGGCACCTCTTATACAGGGAAACACGAAAATAATGTGATACCTACATAAGGTTCGGCGTTAACGACGTCAATTATGATAATGAATTGTTATTTGCCCAGGGATGCAGAGCAGTTAAGCTAAAATATAGCTGCGTAGGAGAAGGTTCTAAGGGTGGCATCATGGGAATGGAGGTTGGGTACTTTATGCCCTTACGTAACAAACCGTTCTATACCTGTGACTATTGGTTAAAAAAAAAAAATTGAATTTTTGTAAATTATAAAAATTTATATATATATATATCATAAATAAATATTTTTGCCTCATAGAAAGATTTAGTCATACGTCAAACAAAGAAAATCCAGAAGCTACGATCGCAGTTCAAAAGGTCAAAATAATGTAGCAGTGCGTTTGGGTGATACCGATAGCAATAGTATCAGTAGCGTATACCGATGGCTTTAACGTTGTAAGAGCGAGCATGAAGTATGGTGCAGTATAGCGTGAGGCGCCTGGCTGACCGACGCTAACGCTGGCGCCTAAACGCTAGATCTCGTGCACTTATGTGGCTACGTTATCCGCTTTCCACTCTACAGAGTGTCCATGAATTTTTCATTCTACCGCTAGACCGAGTCGCTGTGGGATTAAACGATAGCCATTGGTCGGGATCCTTTCGTTGGGTACATAAGAATTATTAGGAGACGCATCCTACATTGTTTCTTACGTTTGCACTGTGTATGTTGGGTATGCAGGTACGTACTTACCTATAAAAGTGCCCTAGTCCACTTTCGATTCCAGTCGCCAGCTATGAATCTTTCATTGGACTATAGACCTGTGAAATATCTTAGGTTAAAAGGACTAAACGTTATAAAGTATTATTACTCTCTTTAATACTTTTTCCTGCTCTTCCGCGAACCAGTGACGCGTGTATTTACGTGCATATAACTTTTGGGTATTTATTGCAGTGAGCATATGTGTACATTGTGTGAGAAAATTTTTTAATTTTTCAATCAAGTGATTATGATCTGGATATTGATTTGTTAGTTAATATTTTTGTAATTCGACATGTGGATTTAATTGAGTTGAAAATTTTTTAGGTCATTGAATTTGGTTCGCGGGAAATATTTGAACGTATGCGAAGAGAAGGCGGTTTGGAATTCTCTGTAATGATAAGGGGATGATAATTTCGTGCGTGATGGTCATTAGGGAGCTTAATGATTAATTCTTCATTAATTATACCGTAAGAGCAGTTTATTGGTTATTGACTGATAACGGTTTCTTAGAAGTATTATATCTTTTGTGGGGCACTGTACTCAGTCAGCGGGTAGTTATCGCGTATTGACTTTGGTACTTTGCCCCCGTTTTGATTTACTTGTCTCTTAAGCTGGATTCTAATGCAGCGACACCCTGGCTTTCCTTCGTACGAAATGTAAGTCCGTTTATACGCGATGCATGTAACCCACGCTCAATGCGAAAAACCTGAATCACGCGAGATTCTCGTCCAGCCTTATTATTTCGCAATTTTATTCGCAACACGGCGAAAACTTTCCTGCCGCATTGCTAACTGGGACGATCAGAAGAAAAAAAAACTGCTGACCGAAGGATCAAAGAGGAACATTTTACAGATTTCTGTAATACCGGTACTTTTACAGATTTCTGGTATAATAGTGCAATAGAATATATATATACAAGGACAGCGACAGCGTTAACGACGGACGTTAATTTAGAGCGCACTTAGTATTCCCAGGGCGTCGGGACGCCTGGAAGATCTCAAAGAGGAGTTTTAAGGTAGAAGTACCCGGCACTGCCGTTCGCGATAGCGGTGGCAGCACCGACAGCAAAGACACATCCAACGCGCTAGGATCGTATTAATTATCCTTGATGGGATCCACCGCGCAGAAATCCATCCCGCATGCTAAGCGTCGCGACGCTTCCTCGGTTTATCAAAAGATTTCGGTGGAAGTCGAAGCCCGCAAGGACGCCAATCGCGAGCCGTCTTTTCTTGAGATCATGAATAATTGTGAGGTCGCAAACGCGACGCCAAGGTCTCTAATTAACTTTCACCGCACCCGACGCTCTTTGACGTCGTCCCGACGCCTGCAGGACCCTCGTACGCATAAGACGGCCTTAAGAATATACCCAAAAGGTAACCGGATTCCGCACTCATTTCCATACACGAGATTATCGAAATGAAATTCTCACGAGAAATCAGAACTGGTCGGTATACAATTTCACACCAAATGGACGCGCAGCGTCCCGACGCCTGATCAGACACTGAATATTTATTAGCGGATCCCGCCGATACATCTTTGAGGTACCCATTGGGACGTCCGACGTCTTCTGAGAGACGTTTCCCGAATTGCGTCATACTGTACAGGTACCTGAAAAAAAATTGAATTTTTTTTTTTTTTTTTTTTTTTTTGAAAACATGAATTCATACCCATTACGTTACTCGCAGTTTCTTTTTTTGACTCTCGTGCGTTCATCCTTATTGTATGTTTTTTTTTTGTTCTGTTTGTGCTACCGCTACCGTTCTTGTTAGTCATGTGCGTTTTGTATGCGTTGTGTTGTGCTTGGCTAATCATCGTCGATACGTCACAATGACGCAATTATAGGCCAGATCACGTATCACTAACAACCCTGTCATGTCCGGTAGCCATTTACTATGCTTGATTATCCTCTAACGTGCGGACAAGTGGAATGCGTTCTCCGTTGACTCAGGTACAGGCATACGTATAGGTACCAACATACGAGACAGTCTAGACGCCAAGGCGCCTCTTAAATAAATATCACTAAAGCGGTATAGAAGTTACAAAAAAACAAAAAAAAAAAGAGATTCGTCATTGGATGCTGGAATTCGTAAGAATCGTATATCGACTATTGGGTGTCTATGCGGTTACCATTAGACTGTCTGCGTACGCTTTGCGAGAACGAAGGTCTTTTCGCGAAAGTTCCCGCTACTGTGCGAGACGCGGCGCCTAATAAATAATAGCGTATGATTGTATCGATTGGCATTTTCCTGGAAGCCAGGCAAATTGCTGGCCACCCTTATGCGTTTCCAGGAAAAAGTGCGTTCGAGGGCAACTTACGTACAGTCGTTGCAAAAAGTGCCCTTTTTTACGCGCACTGCATTATCAATATACGTATCATGGGAAAATTAGATCCTTTTATTATTGTTTATGTTGACAGTTTGTTGTTTGATGGTTAATTTTCAAAATTTTTTTTTTCCGAAATTTTTTTTATACGATACTTTTTTTTTATTTTTAACACGGTTCATCAGGTATATTCAAATTTTCTATTTATACGAAAATTCTCGATTTGTCTCTGCGCATTAGGCTACGGTAAATTGATTCTGGAGAACCGCGCTATTACATACCACGAGTTACATATGTACCTACATGGGTAAGTACTTGGCACGGTACTCGACTGAGTCTTTTGATCACCAGCTAAGGTTCCACGAAGTGCCTGGCCATTTTGCAGTCGATAAATCGCAAATCGCAATTGCGAAATTCATATGCCAAACACGTGACGCAAGACTTGCGTAAAATTCGAAAAATATTTATGCCGCTTGATATATTTATTTTTATGTAGTATAGTAATATATATATTGTATGCAATAACAAATCGATTAATATCGAAAATGAATAATCGATCTACATTAAAATGAATTCCAGTTCAATTTCATATACCAACTACCATAGTAACGGGTGACTAGACATTAATTACACATAACAATAATTGTTCACACACGACACGTCACACGTAAATTGATGAGGCTAAACTTGACGTTAATTAAAATTTCTTGTATCCATATTAAAACATGGCATGACAATCAGAAAAATGTTAATTATTGATAACCCAAATTGGTGTAATCGACAAGAACAATGCAGACTCAAAATATTGAATTAATAATTTCACCAGAGTTTGAAATCGGGTCTCGTGAAGGTACTTTGTAAAAAAATTAAAGATTAATTATCAAAAAAGTCAGTTTACGTGAATT